TAATTTTTGATTTTTTCAGTGATTATTATGAAATTGATTTTACAGTGATTATGAAATTGAATTTCTTAACGTTGCTAATTTTTCAGCCCTGAGTGTAGCGACATGATCAGTCAATGCATTGGTAAAAATATGAAGCTTTCGAAAACTTTTCGTCTCGTTTTTTGTTTGAAAACAATTATTATACCTATTTTGACACACGCACACAAAAAAAGAAGAATAGATTTCCCACTGTCAAGGTTAGCATGATCAGTAATTCCAATTTTCCCATCAATACACTGTTATCATTGACACTAAAATGCCAGGACACGGCAAAAATAGGAAAAGTGAGAAAGTCGAAGGAAGACGAAGCTGCTACGCTCGTCGAAGTTTGATCTGTGGTTTTCATTCCCCCTACTAGTAACACTGTTAATTTCAACATAACATTTTGGTTCGATTGACGGTTTTTTCGAGTAAATGGGGGCCGCGTTTTAATTTATGCGAACCAACGAATGTTTCGGATTTTTTTAATATCGCATAATGCTTGCGTTCCACTATTTTTTTTTCTTAATTCCGTTCAGAATAAATATTGTGTAACTGGATATTGAGGACAGTAGACAAGCGAAATTTATCCAAAAATTCGTGAGTTTTTTTTGTCCCTCCGGAAGGAGTTTTTTATTCGAATTTGCAAAATTGGCTCATTCGGCAGCGAAGTTTTTGGTTCCTCCGGAAGGGGTTTTTTCGAAAATTTTGCAAAGTTGGCTTATTCGGCAGCAGAAGTATCACCCATTTTATCTGGACTTCAGTTTGGTACTCAGTTTTGGCTAAATAGCCAAAAATGATGTTTTGTAACTGATGCTTTTCCCAACCTCTTCATTTATTTTCTCTGATTAGAAGCGTCTGGTGATTAGATTTGCAAAAAAAGCATGAATTTAAGAGTCATGTGGTTGAACGCAGGCGAAATGTCACAGTATCGTCAGATGATTTCAAAAAAAAGCACTTTCGGCGTTCTTCAATAATTTGTATAAAGACGACTGGCAACACGCGAATAAGTTGGATGTTTGGAATATCTTGAAGAGTACGAATAATCGCCTCGTGCCGATGCTGAGCCGAGGTTCAGCTCTTTCTCACGACGCGATTGCCATGTTGTTGGCGATAGCCAGTATCTGTTATAAACATCAAATTGAAAGAAAAGAGTGCATAAAAGCGAACTGGAGGCAAAATTTGCCTACATTTCGTCGGAAAAGCTTAAGTTCTCACTTAAATCATTTGGAAAGACTGCGAAATATCAGAAATGATTGATTGGAAATCGCTAAAACCGGCTTTGATAAACGGGCATTTGCGGCTGAGCCATCGAAGAGTTTGTTGC